GTGAGTAAACCCTTTATTTGAACTCCAGTATATTGTTCATTTAACTTATCGAGGCCCGCCAGTGTCCGACTTTGTATATGGTATTGATATTCATGTCCATTTTCCCAGGCATGGTCATGATCAGGTGTGGCCACGGCTAAACCGACTGTCGAAAGGTTGCCAAATTGTAATTATTAGAATTTGTTTTTTCTTATTAGATATTGAAATTAAATTCTTATTACGTTAATTGTCTCAAAAGTTAGGGTAATTATGCATAAAAAGACCCCACCCGCCAATAACTTTGACCTTGACATATGTTGTCAAGGTCACCCTCTTGAGTGACCTTCAGAAGTTTTTAGCCGGCGGTCGATATTCGTTAAAAAGTTATTAACAAAAAAAGTTTGAAAAATATAGCAGCTATTTTGAGTATTGAAAGGCATAAACGGCTAATATTACGTTCTTTTTTTTTAAGCATAGAATACTTTATTTCGCGATTATTTCGCGAAAAAGTCACTGCTTTACCAAAACACAACATTTAAACCAGTAAATTGTTGATAAATTGTATATTAAATGTTTGTGAGTATTGGAAGGCATAAATGACTAATATATATGTCGAAATAGTTCACGCATATACTTTCCACGCGAGACGAGTTGTCACATGGGTCCGTGGCGCGCTTTACAAGCTCGTTTAAGTAGAGGAGGTATTAAACAAGATAAGTTAGTTGATCATCTGTGTGAATATTTATTGCGATATACAATAAACGAGCTTGTAAAGCACGCCACAAACTTATGTGGCACCTCGTTTCGCGTGGAAAGTGTATGCGTAAACTATTTCGACATATATATATTAGTCATTTATACTTTCCAATACCCACATATATTCAATATACAATTTATCAACAATTTACTGCTTTAAATGTTGTGTTTTGGTAAAGCAGTGACTTTCTCGCGATATAAAGTATTCTCTGTTTAAAAAAAAACGTAATATTAGTCGTTTATGCCTTCCAGTACTCAAAATAGCTGCTATATTTTACATACTTCTTTTGTTAATAATTTTTTAACAAATATCGACTGCCGGCTAAAAATTTCTGAAGGTTACTCAGGAGAATGACTTTGACAACATATGTCAAGGTCAAGGTCATTGGCAGGTGGGGTCTTTTTATGCATAATTACAAAAATTAGATTTATCTTTGTACATAAATTAGTTAAATAATAACGCATGCAAAACATGAAAGTTAAATTTCACAGCAATGATTTTATATCAATTGAAAAATCAATCAATTTTTTTTACTAATTGGGAAAACTTAGTTTTGAAAATTTCATAGAAATGCGAGATATGTTATTTGAAATTTTCATAAAAACTATTACATATTTGCAAAGTTGATGTCTACTTACCAAGTAGAAGGACGGTGACAGGGAACCACATGGTGTTATGTGGTGGCCAGTACCAAATGCGAAATGAAAGCTTCCTCTTCTTGATTTAATTTATATACGGGAGTATGCCAACTCAACTTGACCTGCCGATGGCCACAGATTCAGCATTCGCACGAACTTGAAACTATATCGTTCACCACGCGCAATAAATTTTTTTAACCTTCCACACGATAGATTACTTCTGACATCCGTAGCATATTTAAGAAAATGAAGACGTGGGCGTACCATCGGACTTCCGAACAGAACTTTGACTTTGTTCGAAGATATTATTAACTTCGCTCGATCGATCGAGATCGATATTAATCAACTGTTTTCTAGTCAAAATACTGAAATTTATCAAAATATATTCGACGTAATTGAAAGTAAATTTTCTGTAACTTACGCAAAGTATAATTACGTGTCTATTCGCTGTAGATTAGAAAAAATATATGTATTTTTAATTATACTTAAAAGTGAAAATTATACAGATAATGTTTACTTTGACGTATAATATAATTAAATAAACGGATATAATATATATTAAAATAATATAATTAAATATATATATATATATATATATATATATATAAAATATATGTAATATACATTTAGTTTGTTTCTCTATATGTCAGTTTCTCAAAGGGAGAGAATAATAGAAAGTTATCCATTATTTCTATTAGCAACGAAATTTTGTTAATATAAATATAAATATTTTAGTAGGTGTTTACATATGCAACGGAATTATATAAAACTATCAATAAAATAAACTTTGTAACTGTAATTCTTCAATTATCACCCGTTTCATCAAAAACTTTTCTATTACAACATGGAAGAAAAATCTAAATGCAAACTAATACATTTATTCAAACGTCTATTTTTCTTTTGATAAGGAGATTGGTTGCCGTCACGTGCGGGGCAGGCGGCAGGGCAGGGGAAAGCCTATAGATTTTCGTCGCGTGAAATAAACGAGTTTTAGCAAATAAAATGAATATGTGGAAGGTATTTAATTAGCTGTTTTTTAAGGTTTTTGTCGTTGTACAATCGTTGTTGGCACAATTAAAACTCAAATACGTTACTATCTACATTGAAATGTGGAAATATGCTGTTTTATTTTTACAATTCCTTGATAATGTAGACAAATCATTTCACTTCTCGTAAAAGTATTTCTATTAAATTCTTATCATTTTTAATATGCTTTCGAGATTTACGTTACAGGTGTCGTAACATTTTTGCTATGTCGCCCGTGTACAAGAGAAAGATAAGAGCATTATAACTTCAACCAAGAGACACGGTAGTGTCTTGCACCAAGTACGAACTGACCGTGACTTATTTACGCGACGCGACGATAATTAATTACTCGACAACCATGCAGACAGTTGTCTTCAACTTTGGCATAAACGACAGGTTTCCATAGACGAATATCTTCCATAAAGTTAAACTAATTCTTATCATATAGATTTGAGTAACCAACCCCTACTTAACTCATATATTTATAGCTATATCTCGAATAGCCTATACAGAACTTCTATTTTTCCAATCAATTCAATTGAGAGTCGTGTGACGTTTGTGTTTATGGCGCAAATACGCAAATAGTTTGTGTTTATGGCGAGAAAAGTAGAAAACGGATACGCGGACGACAACGAACTTCGCGATAAATTGTATTAGTGTTTATTAAACGAAGTCAATATAAAATAAATTAATATTTATATTATATGCATATGCACAGTTTTTTAAGATACGTTACACGCAAATGCATTGCAAACTCGCGGAGGACGCACGCTACGCGGAGCAACTCCGAGATAGAAAGCGAGAAAAGTAAGCACTTTATAACTGTGAACGCTGCGATACGAGATCATGATACTGCCATTAGCGACTGGTAGTGAAGCTGCGGGATTACAAGGTTTTATGCTTTAGGTTCTCTAGAACATTCGGGAATCTTCACGGCCATAGAAACTGAATGCGAAGCATCTTGATAGTTGAGATAATTAGCTGAGATAACAAGAAAGACATGATAATCAAAACTCGTTTGGCTTTCCCTCTGCTTAATCTTAGTTTTACGAATAGTTTTTGACTATATGTATATCTAGAGAGATGGAACGGTTGTTCTAATAAAGGCGATGATTACTGGTATGAAAGTTAATAATGATCTTAATTAAAGCTGATATTAAATCGATTATGTCGATTTCGAGTGGCTTGGATATGCCAACAAGAATACAACTCATAATTATGTTGAAAATATTCAACTTTATTCTTGCTTACATTACTGCGATTACTAAAAGCACATATTTGCAGCCTTTTATAAAAAGAAAAACGAAAAAAAGGAAGAGGTCGTTTCAATTAAGTATATGCATGATCGGTATATCACTTCGGTATTGCCGGATTACGCAGCGCTGCAAGCGCCTTGCGGAGCTTGGAAAACGTGTGACTTGGTGGCAGGCTTCCGGGACAAATCTGGATTAGCGCCATTCTCGACTCTTTGTTTTAGCGATGTAGATTCTTCATTCCTCATCTGGCAATAAAGAGGATATTTCTTTAATTTTCTTTCCACGGGCACGGTACCCTCGCGGCATGTTGGCACAGG